AACCGCTCTGTAATTGTAATTCGGGCTGCTTGCACATGCACACGTGATTCAGGATTGAGTTACAAGTCGGTGTTCACCGTTTCTTGCAGCAGAGCCCGCTAATCCAGAGTATGCTCTGGGAGTGCTCTGGGGATGTATCAGGGCTGTGTAGTGGCAACGTTTCGGTCGGCAGGGTCCTGCTCCCACCCTGGACGTACTTTGTTTCCCGGTTTTGCAACCTCTGTTTACCAGTTCCTCGCCTGATGGCAGTCTTGGCCTTTTCACCAACCCCCTGTTTTCTTCTCGGTGCCAATATGCATTTCAGCGTGTGCTGCTTATTTCCTAAAGCTTTTTCTAATCGATTTTTCCTTCTGGATGTGCTCTCGTACCCTTTGCATTTGAACCGGGTTGTTGCCTTTCCTGCAGTGCTGTGGATTGACAGCCACAGGCTTCGTAAGAATGAATATCCCAAAATAAAATTTAAAACCGCTGTAAGTTTTGGTGTTAAAGCAGACCAGGCTGGCAGCAACCACGATTCTGGTGGCAAAGTCTTGTCAAATCTGATCTGTAGGTTTTTTGATACAGATAGAATTCTTGGGACATTTGACTGCTAATTTGTAAAATTTGCTGAGCAGCTACAACGTATTGATGGGCTGGTTTTAGCTAAGTGTCTTCCCTTGCATTGTGAATAAGCCTGTGTATTTTTTGCCGTGGACTTCTGTGCTGCCTTCCTATTTTTCAGCACCTTTTGAACAATCAATCACACGCCTTAGGTTAAAGGAAAGGCACCATCTTAAGAGATAAATGAAAGTCATTAATGGGTCTTACCAAGTTTTACAAGTATTGTTCTGATAACCTTTCTGTATTCGTTTCTCCCCACAGCCTGGTTTTGTGGTATCATCTCTATCACCGTCATTAGCCTGCTTTCCTTGCTAGGTGTGATCTTGATTCCCATCATTAACCAATGGTGCTTCAAATTTCTTCTAACTTTCTTGGTAGCTCTGGCTGTAGGAACAATGAGTGGAGATGCACTGCTCCATCTGTTGCCACACGTAAGTATTGTTTTCTTACCTTTTATTCCTAACTGTAACCAAACACAGAATTTTCAAATAATCAATAAACAAATGTAGATTAGCTTGACTACCAGGGACATCCTGAAACACTGTTTGAGACTTTCTGTTAACAAAAAGAAAGGAAATGTGTGTTTCTTAAGAAAAATAAAAATGATGTGTTCATAGTTGAACTTCTGTCACAGTATTTAAAACCACGTAAGGAAATCAACAAGAGTATTTTAAATTTAGCAGTATTGCTGTCTCTTGTGTACTGATACTTGTGTATCAGTATCACCTAAAAGTATTTCAGAGGGATTAACCTTCCTGCTTACTAGCATGTGGGGAGAAAGTAACCTCTAACTTACTGAATCAAGAAATGTCTCAAGTTCCTGGGAAGGTAAGCAGTTTTTGAGTTGTGTTTCTTGGAAGGAGCAATGTTTTCTAAAGGTTGGCTATCTTAATCCTTTTAGCAAAAAGACTGATGGTTTTGTCATGTATTTTCACTGAAAGCTTATATTTGAGATCAGAACTAAGATTGTAATTGACTGTAATAGTTAAATAAAAAATAGGAGGCTTGGTAGCTAATGGTAGTGTAGGAGCGGCAATTCCTTGTGACATTTCTGAGCGTTGGTCTCGTTACCTTTAACGTTGTGACAGGCAAAAGTTGAAGCTAGATTGTCTCTTAAAAAATTTTCCCTGGGGGCTATTTTTTTATTGGTAAAGGAATGGTAAAATGAGCTTGCATTCAAAAACCAACCCAACCTTTCAAGTCTTTCTCCGCTACTTTCGTGGCAAGGGTAGGTACTCCGACATGTGAGCGGGGAGCCCTTCCAGCGTCCCAACTGCACCAGGTCACGCCGTGTCCTTCTTCCCTCTCCCCATAGTCTCATGGAGGCCACGACCACAGCCACCACCATGGCCAAGGTCATGTTCACGAACACAAGCGTTCTCATCGACATGCCCACGCACACGCAGTACGGACTGAAGGCTTTCTGGAAGAAAATGACCCGGTGCTGAAAGGTCTCGTGGCACTCGGAGGCATTTATGTTCTCTTCATCATTGAACACTGTATAAGAATGTACAAGCACTACAATAAACAAAAGGTATGTGCTAGAACCGCGTGCCATTTCCAATTACGTTCCCTTAAGTTATCCTCCAAGCACTGAGGAATTGCCTGGGTGATGAAGCATTATTCTGTGAAGGTGAACACGTGCTGCTCATCTGCCTTCTGTGTGATTTGATGTGAGAAACCCTTTTCTAAAAGGTGCAGCTTTCTTAAGATAATTTGGGAAGACAGTAGAAGCCTGGTGGTGAGAGGTTGCAGCTTTTTGACCAGATATATTTGGAGGTAGATTTAAATAAAAAAGAGATTACAGCTCTTCTGAGGAAGTGCCGTGATCCTTTTTTTTTTTTTTTCAAAAATGTGAAAGGCAGCATGTTAATAATAAATTGGCAAGAGTCAAAGTTTGCAAGAAATGTAACTGTATACTATTAGCTGGTGATGCCAGTGTGACATAGGTATTCAGTTTTTCCACATGAGAAAAATGCTAAAATTTAGAGACCTCCTGCATTCTGTCAATTGCCAGCCAAATTTTAACTTATTTCCCTGAAAATAATTAAATTTTTAGGGTTGGAAGCATACCATATTCATGATGTTGGTATAAAAAGAGAGCGAGTACCTTGGGGGAAGCAGGTAGGAATCCAAGCCATATTCTTTTAACAGGCAGTACAGAAGCACTTTTAACTTTTGCCTCCATCGTTCGTCTTGGAGGGGAAAATGATTTTGGTGAAGTTATGACTGCTTCTTCCAAAACGAACGCGGAAAGTTTTGAAGTTCATGTCATGCTTGGTGCCTCAGCTGAAAAGGCAGCAAAGGAGGCTGAGAGGAGACCTTATTGCCCTCTACAACTACCTAAAAGGAGGCTGTAGTGAGGCTGGTGCTGGTCTCTTCTCTCTAATTACTAATGACGGGACAAGGGGAAATGGCCTCAAGTTGCGTCAGGGTAAGTTTAGATTGGATATTCCGAGGAAGTTCTTTCCTGAACGAGCGGGGAGGCACTGGAACAGGCTGCCCAGGGAGGTGGTGGAGTCACCAACCCTGGAGGTGTTTAAAAAAAAAAGTAGATCTAGCACTTGAGGCTGTGGTGTAGTGGTTGGGTGTGCTGGGATGAAGGTTGGACTAGATGATCTTCAGAGGTCCCTTCCAACCCCGAACATTCTGTGATTCTGTGATTCTGTGAAAATGTTTTCTATGTCGAAGGAGGTGTTTCTTGGATGTTCTGATAAGGAGATAAAAGCTGTCACGTCAGGCATATCTTCTTTGGGATTCATTAAATAATTAAATCTCCTGGGCTGCCATGGCAACCCTGTGATCTCTGTTGTATGGGCTGCGGGTGCGAGAGCAGGAAGCTCCTCTTGGAAAGACAATAGGAGGAAGTTATGGGAGTATAAGAAAAATTGCAGTTGAGCAAAATAGAGGAGCCGTTGTTGCTGCATGCTTGATTTCTTGAACAAAATAAGGAAATATACTCACTCGTGTGTTTCTAGGCTGCTAGAGCCGTCCTGTTCGTAATGTGCTCTGTTCTTGCAGCGAACTGTCATCTGCCTGTGTGTTTGGGAGTGAGAGTCTGGTTCATAGCTAGGAACCTGCACTGGGATAGATACTGGGTTTGTGCTTTAAAGATTTGCTGTAGTCACATCCTTCTGTTAGACATACTGAGAGAGAGGAACCTAGTCCATTTTGAAAAGCTTTTTGGATGACATTTCGGCTGCTTTTATTTCCATCGACGTCCTTTTACCAGCCAGATGTTAATCTCTTGCCTCTTGCAGAGTAAGCAGAAATGGTGTAAGAAGAAACAGAGCGAAGAGTCACCGATCGGCAGGAAACTTTCCGATCACAAACTAAACAACAGACCAGATGCCGACTGGCTGCAGCTCAAACCCCTTGCAGGTAGGCATTTATTTTCAGCATTTTCTCGGATTTTGAGAGTCAAAGTAATGGCTTGTAACCCCTGGCATGGAGCATGTAACCTCTTGTACAGTTTTGCTGCTATTATGCAAATCGCCATTAATGAGACTTAATAGGCTTTCCCTATTAAATATTCTTTTGTTTTGTTTTCCCTAGATCTGAGAGCCCTCTGAGCACTTCCTAATATGCCATACATGTGGTTCTCAGGCTTCTGAAGCAGTCAGGTTTTGGGTGGCTGTAGTTCTTTGGGTTTGGGCATTTTTTAAAAACTTTTTTTGGATTTGAGATGTTTTTTGGTTAAGCATGCCTGCCTCGCTTAGCCCTGGCAAAAATTAGATCCAAAATGAACACCCACAACCTGAAGGGGAGTATCTGCTTCACTTTGCAGATTCTAGCTTCTGACCAAGTCTGGTTTGGTTGAGAAGGCTAAACACAATTAATTTCTTTTCATAAATAGAAGCATCCTGAATTTTTCTCAAGTATCCAAAACACCTTCCACAGAGAGTTGGTTGGTGACACTCTGATGGCTCCTGTGGCGCGTACCCAGCAGGAACAGCGTGTTGCCCTTCGCAAGGGAAGGGGAGGGGCTTTGCTTCACCACCTTCCTCTGTTGCCTGCGTGGCTCCTGAATTAATTTGCTGGTGGATACTGCATAGGCTACATATAAATGCAGCAATGCAATGTTGCCCATTTGAATGGCTTGCAAGAGGGAGAGCTAGGACTGCTAGTTAGTAGCCTTCTCCACTCAAAATGAAGTTTGGGACGTTGATGTAGAACACAGACAGACTTTCAGCCCTAAGGGTAGTGGTAGATATATTTGGAGTGTCTTCATTTTCTTTGAACTGGCAATCAGAGAAATTTGCTTCTAGTAGCATGAAGGTTTCGTCACACTCTTCTGAAAGCGCACTCTGCGGATCAGGGAATCCTTCGTACCGGCAGGCATTGGGCAGCTTGTGCTGAACTTGAATTTTGAACTGCAGTGCCACTAGCACTGACCTGAATGGCCATTCCATTTCTTTTTAAACAGCTTCCGAATGATGGCTAAGAGCCTGTTATCTAGAGCTCTTTGTCTGCTGCTTAGGTACTCTGTGCCTGTTTTTTTAATTCCACTTACTGTTTGCTTCTTTTTGACTCTGAAATATTTTTGTCACGTTACTGCGAGCTGGTAACCTCATTGTTCAGAACTGCTTTTTTTTTCCCCACGATTAGTTTTGTTTCCTGGAGCACAGATTGCCAGCTCCATTTATTTCTTAATGCTTTAGAAATATTAGTGGGCTTGAAATTCATGCACGTATGCCTTGCGCATTGTTTTCACTTTGCATTTCTCCATAAAACCGGCTCAGATCGCTAGCAGGGTCGGGAGCTGTGTTGGTGGAGCTCGGTGCACGACACAAGTGTCTGACCCAAGGGTGGGTGCAACACAAACGGCTGAAAGATCCGTTGTACCCGTTGCTGCAGGGAAGGCCCCGTTGTGACCTGTCTGAGCGTGCTTAGAGAGCACCTGGTGAGGGTTTCTTGCGCCATTCGGATTCCACCTGGAGCGTGTCAGGCATTCTCGTCCTGGCAGCTGTCCTTTTCCAGTGCCGAACCACGACTCCCTTCCGTGGCAAAGTGCAAACAGAGCCCCAGGTCAGGCTAACCCTGGCTCTGTGCAGTGTGGGTACAGGGGAGGCTTCTCTAGGAGGTATGTGCAGAAAAAATGAGGCAGCAAGAGATTAGTTTCTTGGCTGGATGTTGACCAAATGCTTCTGGATGTGTTCAAATGCTTCTTTTGCTTTCTCAAAGCAGTTAAACTCTTCGCTCGGTGATGCAGGAGTTACCGGTGATCTTCTAAATAGGAATTAACGCTGTGTCTCTCCCACCCGGCTTCAACGTAGGCGCAGACGACTCGGTTCTATCTGAAGATCGACTCAATGAAACGGAACTAACTGATCTAGACGGGCAGCTGGAATCCCCTCCCAAAACCTTCCTGTCTGTAGAGGAGGACAACAATATGCACCGTTCTCACAACGATGTCTCCCGTGCTGCTCAAGAGCCCGATCTTCACAATTCCGAGTACGACAGCCACGGCGAGGATAAAATGATAGCGAGAAAGCACAGCCACCACTGGCATCACAAACATTCCCATCATTCCCATGGCCACTGTCATTCTGGAAAAGACCTGAAAGATACTGGCATAGCTAATATTGCTTGGATGGTAATTATGGGAGATGGCATTCACAACTTTAGTGATGGCTTAGCAATCGGTAAGCAAAAGCGCCGAGCGTTCCTCAACAGTTTCTTCTTCCCTTTAGTAACTTTGGTAACGTTTTACTCCGCAGGGATGGCAGGTAAGGCTTTCGGTTCGCTCCTGGGGTTACCAGCGTTGTTTCATCTCCTTCGGAGCAGAAGTGAGAAGGTCTGTCGATTGTGAGAGGCTTCCCTCTGGTAGGGGGCTGTCACGGTTTCCACCAAGGTCACCGTGCTGGTGGTAGTGACAGGAGCATCTCTGCCAAATAAAAATAGGTCCAGGCAAACCTCTGCAGGAATTGTGGAGCACACCTGATGCACATCTGGTGTTTGGGTCTTAGTACTTGCCTTTGAACAATAAATAAGTGTACTTTGTATTTATTTATAGTAATAATAATCTTATTTATGTTATTATTAATACATAGAATTATACAATACTTGTAAATAATAAATGTAGTGTGGTTCAGGTTACTAAAATGGTAATAATTAAAAAAATACTGATCAGGATGATTTAATTTTTGTTTGAGCAAAGTACTTTTTTGGGGGGCAGTATAGATTTGTTTCTGGCCAAATGGAGAAGAAAGTGAAGCACCAAACACATTTTATTAGATTGATTAAATCAGCTTTGATTCACATAAGCCTCTAAATGTGATTTGAGCTGTAACACATTAATCTGAATATGTGCCATACAAGTCAAAACGATGGTGAGAGTACTGCGGTGTCACTTTGAATTTTTTTACGAAGGCAGCCACTACGAGTGCCCAGGGTTCTGAACTCCTAGCAGAGGGAACAGACCCCTTTGGAAGGGTGGGGGATAAGCTGCTTCTTAGGGTCTGGAGTTAACAATGGAACCTACTGCAGTTTCGCTGCTTTCTCCAAACAATTTCTAAGGAAACTAAACTCCTTCAAAATTAACTTTTTGCCTCACTTGCCCATTAAACAGGTAAGACATTTAGATGGTGGCTTCTGCGGCCACAAAGGATCACTACGCCATCTGTCGAGAACTTCCCTGCATTGAAACTCCATTTCTAAATATTCCTTTGTCAAGCCCAAACAGCTGATGCTTTGGTAAAGTGTCGAAGTTTGGGAGAGTGTGGTCATCTTTTTAATATATCACACCATGAGGAATCCAGGGGGAAGTTCTCTGTCTTCAGATTGTGTCTTTCTCCTTTATTTTGCCTGCTCTGACTGCTCACTGCAGGCTCTTCGTGTGCCTTTCTCAGCTACATTACAGAAGTTTAAGAGCAGTTTTCTCAGCTCACAATTATTGAAAGTGTGAGCTCTAAGATGATTGAATTAAGTTAGCTTCCACAAAAATTACTGAAAGAGGTTTATGCTGATGCTTTTCTCGTTATATTCCAGGTTTTGGCTTATAAATATTGCTGATGTGTGCTCGACAAATAAGCACAAAGGAGACAGAGAGGTTGTGGGTTAAAAATACTCGTTTGGATTTCCAACCTGGAAAGGAGAGCACTAGACTTGCTCATGTGCGCCCTTAACTGTCCTGACAGACTCAAGAGTTCCTAAAAATGTAAAACTGCTGCTGCTTATTAGCTTATTGCTTTTTGTGTCTCTGATTTGCCCACTTGCGTTCTCTTCTCCCAAGATTTGTCTTTCAGAGAAACCAAAACATAAATGCCATGGAAATGCACATCCGCTGTGTTTCTGGTATTTTCAGTTTCTGCACAGACAGGACCTGGATGCAATGAAAAACTTCAGAGCGTGCATTCTAACAGCAGGATGTCATCTCTGGGAAGTCTGTTAATGAAATTTTCTGACTTGGAAATAATAAAATATAATTTGATTTTTTTATTATTTTTTTTTTTCCTAGGAGCAGCTTTTAGTGCTGGACTGACAGGAGGAATTAGTACATCTATAGCAGTATTTTGTCATGAGCTTCCCCATGAATTAGGTAACTAATGCTATAAACTCTGCGTGCTTGGTCTCTTCACCTGCACAAAATATTTATCTAAAAGCTGTTGTGATAACTCATCCTGATAAGCATAATGCAAGGCCGGTGCTGCGAGAGTGACCAGAACTTCAGAGAGTGATGGAGCAATATTGCTTCAGAGTACGTAAGGAGAATATTAACGCAGGATTATATTAGCAAGTGTCTTGTCACAGCAGTTCTGTGAAGCTTTTTGAACACGTTTTCAGAATCTTTGAAGCGTGCTGTTCACATTTTGGTGCTGTGCCTCTGCGTTTTATAGAGAGGGGTTCACTCTGCTCTGCTCTGTGCAGCATCGTCCTACATCGGTTCTTACCCCCTCATCGAAGCATTTCTTCGTGGAGTTAGTTGACTGTGCTGAAACCTGTTGTTTTCGAGCCGTAAGACGCGTTGCATGAAATTTTAGCACACCCTGAGGCTTCCCAAAGAGCAGCTAGAGAGGGGATGAGGTGTCTTTTTTTTGCCAGTCATGTGGAATTTTTCTAGACTGCTGCGTTAGGTACTGGCAGCTTGCTTGCTCGATGAGCTGCTGGCCCTGCATGATCAAAAGTAAGGGAAAGCAAGTACTTCAGAAACCTTGCTGTGGTGAGCGAAAGCATTTTAAATAGGCAGGTACTAGGTATAAGGTACTGCTGTGACGTCGAGACAGATCTGTATGCACAGACGTGCCCTCTGTGGGAGGACCAGCCCTGGGCCCCCCCTTTACCTTTGGCCGGCCGTCGCTGTTGCCTTGCTGACGATCAGCACGAGAAAGAGGCACCTTGGAATGATTTTTTTAATTGAGAGATCGCTGCACATAAATGCAGTTCTTGTAAGAGCTGTTGTAAGCTGTTGCCCAGCCTTTCCTGGAGCCTCTAGCAGCACGTTCACTTTGGCAGTGCCTTGGGTTGGCAAGAGAGTACGTGCAGGTGAATTCTCTGCCTGCTCTCTCAAGCAGCACCAATACTCAACCCTCGTGTTCCGTCTCATTCCAGGTGACTTTGCCGTGCTGCTTAAGGCAGGGATGACAGTAAAGCAAGCGATCGTGTACAACCTCCTGTCTGCCATGATGGCTTACATCGGGATGCTCATCGGCACGGCGGTGGGGCAGTACGCCAACAACATCACCCTCTGGATCTTCGCCATCACTGCAGGCATGTTCCTCTACGTGGCGCTGGTCGACATGGTAAGATTGCCGTGATTTCGCGTCGGGTTTTGCGTTCCGCACTTAAAGCCTCGGACTTGAAACGGCACCTACGACAGAACTCTTTTTGTGCTTGTGACGCGTAAAATATCTTTAGACAGTAGGTGGCTGTTTCCGTTCCGTGGCTTTATAAAATGTTGCGGAAACTCTTTGAGGGATGCAGTGAAGCTTTACAGTTGTCTGGGTTTCTGCCACCAGAGTTTGCCAGTGGCGCTTGTCAAAATGCAAAAACTGCAGGGACGCTTAGAAAGACACTTCCTACTAATGAACTAATAAAAATAATAACTTCCCACTAATAAAAATAATATGATTCTCTGGTTTTGTGGGTGAGGCATTAGACACTGGAGTTCTATCTGGTATTTGAAATCATTCTTCAGTAAAGTTTTAGTCTTTGTATATCTGAAGGGGTAAAACCCACTTGTGTTTCTGGTGTGACAGGTTCTGCAAAGCTTAGTCCAAACCCTTAGCATGAGCAGCTGCTAACACAGAGCTCTCGTAGTGATTAGCTTTTTAAAAAACTACCTGGAGGAAAAGTGCTGTTCCTTCAAGAACTGAGAGTTACGATATACGTAGTGTGTGTGGAGCGTAGATCCAGATCCTTCAGGCAGAACTGAACTTGTGCATGTGGTACCAGCCTCTGTTCGATCCTATTTTCTCTCCTAAGCAGCTTCAGACAGAGCTGCATCTAAACAAGCCTCTTTTCTCACTTCTTGTCTTTCCCAAGCCCGGTGATGACAAGATCCGTTTCAGTTTTGGGTGTATTTTGCACCAGTCTTTCTGCTTTAATATGCAGAGAAAAAAATGTGTCGCTTCCTTGGATTTTAAGGCCAGATCTCACACCGTATGAAATGATTAACCAGTTAGACTAGAAGCTCCAATGTAATTAAAGCTTTAATTCATAAGGGTTCAGACAGTTTTTTTGTGGGGTGATGATGCCCTGGATTTCTATTGCTTCTTTCACAAACAACTCTTCCTAGTAGAGACATCTAAAGCAGAGGCAAGCTTCCGCACAGCTGTTACCTTTCTCCTCAAATAGAGGAGGTTAAATAACCTTTTTTTTTCTGTCTTAAAGAGGCTTTTTAGTTGCTGTTCAGTTCCACAGTTTTGAGACTCTGGGACAGCTGTTGCCATCCGGAGCTAAGACTTCCACTTGCACTCGTAATACTGCCCTTGTTCATGTCCTTGACCGGGAACCTTGGAAGTTGTGGAGTCGGAGCACTGTGCCCTTCCTAGGTTTTGAAACAGATGCCAGAATATCCTTTGATTATTCTCAAGAGCATCTTTAGGCTGGGAACAGCAATACGATGCCCCCACAGAAGTTGATGACAGAACTTGAATTATGTGCAGATCAAAAAACATGAAGGTGAGAATTGGCAACAGCAAGTGTAGCACAATTCTCCGATTAGATTTAGTACTCCTTGGTGAATGCAACTCTGATTTATTACAAGGAGAAGAATTCTGCCAACATGAGAGCTATGTAGCAGCCTTCAGGAGTGTAAAGTCTGTGATTGCTGCCTTTCTTCTTCATGACCTAACGGTCCTTAGTCATTCGGGGTAGTGCTTGCTCTTAAGCTGCCTCGTCTGTTGTATAGGGGATAAACAGTTTTCACAACAGGGTATTTTTTTTTATATTTAAGTACTCAGTGGGTCAAATTAATTGTCAGCTTTATGTATCCTTTTGAAATACAGTAATACGAGACCAGACAGGTAATATATATGATTTTTTTTAAGTAGATTTCGGTGCTCTGATAATCTGTCATCGACTGTTGCACAGTATTCAGGTACTGGAATAACCAGAACTCTCATGAAGAGCAGTGACCAGAGAGAGGCTCGTGCTCTGAACTACCTGAAATTTCCATTTTGTCCTCGGTTGTGTTTTTCTGTACTACATGTGTCTTGAAGGAATTTCTTCATTTACCTCATGCTTTCTTGAATTAGTTTCTTTGTAAAACACGTAACTTCTCTTCTGTATGGGCACTTCTTAAGATTTATTTTTGCTTCTTCCAAGTCCACTATTACTTACTTGTTGCTTTTGTCAGTACTATTTGACTTTTCTTCTTAGAAATATCCAGAGCTTTCAGAACTTTTTACAGCTTCACGTAGAATTTCTTTGGAATTACTTGTAGCTGTTATTCCCATATTTGAAAGGGACATGTATGTGAATATGTGTACACATGTCGCATGGGAAATGAACGGTTAAGTTAATCAGCTCAGTCATTATAAAGGGTGTATTTGTAGCAATGTAATTACTGTAGAAATAGTCCAAGCTTTTTCCTACATTTATTTGAGCATGACAGTTTTAACTGAGTATAAGAACTCGAAAGATCAGAACTTGAAGAATGCTGGGCTGGTCCTCATCTTGAAGAACTTAAAGTTCAAGGAAATGTGTGATCCAGTAAAAGCTTAAAAAGCCCAAAGTCCCAAGGAAAGGCCAGGTATTTTGACTTTGTTTTGTAAATGCATGATCATGTTTTGATCAGATGTGGTGGTTAGTTTGAGTTTAACCAACGTCTTAGCGTCTTGTTTTCATAACTGAATCCTGGAGTGTTTATACTTGACAGAATCAGCTTGTAAACCTGCCCATGTATAAATGGAATAGGGGTAAAATAACTTTCTAAATTGTTTTTCCTCGTAGCTTCCAGAAATGCTTCACGGAGACGGAGATAACGAAGAGCACGGCTATTGTCCCGTGGGGCAGTTCATTCTTCAGAACCTAGGCCTGCTTCTTGGATTTGCTATCATGCTGGTGATTGCCCTCTATGAAGATAAAATTGTGCTTGACATCCAGTTTTGACCTAACTCTGGTAATCACTGTGGTTCCGATAATGTTACACGATTCTCTGATCCTGCTGTGCGGCTTTGGGTCTGCGCTGTTCCACTGTATGCACGTTGCTCGGAGGAGAAGCCGTGGCTTGCACCACTTACATGAGTACAGGATATTCATTCATTTCTGTGTAGATCGAACTTCTGCTTTTGTTTCTAATTCAGATCAGAGGAGATGACCCAATGCATCTGCCAAACTCAAGTGCTTGACAATTAGGAAATACTAAATATGAGAAATCGGTGCCAAGTTCAGTGTGCTCTCTAGGAAGTACAGCTTGCTTAAGGAAGGAAAAGTGCCGTGAATTTGGGAAAATACCATTTCAATGTTACTTTTGAACAGAACCCAGAAAACATTACAGCTGAAATTCATACCTCTGCAAGGAACCCAAGTAAGCTTTTAGTGCCACATAAGTCCTAAGTAGTGCATATATATATATGTATATATCTATTTTAACAGATATGTATGGATATATAGAGATACGCATCCATGTATGTGTGCGTGTGTATATATATATATGTATACATAATTCATTCTGTGCCGATTCTTCTGCATAGAAGAATCTTCTTCTGACTTTTAAAGTATTAAATCCTACAGCGGCACGTGACTGGAAACCACCGTGCCGATTTAAATTTTAGGAAAAGAACCCCAAAACCTTGAACACCATTTAAATTCTTAAGGGTATGCCATCCCGAAGGTCACGTGTAAGCAGGCAGACTGTCGCGATCTACGCTGCAAAGTGCTGCGTTCTGTTGAGGATCAGTCTGACGACATTTTTCCTGTCTTAAGATTTATTTGATGTGTGTTCCTTGATCGTAGTAGGAAAATGCGAAACGCAGTAGAATTAGCATTAGCTTGGGGAAACCCCTGCTGTTGGAGTTTTTGAGCTATTTCTGGTTCCTTTTTACAGATGCTAAACATGCATTGTGTGCCACTCGCAGCATAAACTACTGAGGAATTGTGGCTGTGAGTTTGTGCAAACTCTTTGACCAGAGAATCCGTATGGGAATTTCTCCGTTTTTGAAAAGAATTATTCTGGACTGTTCTCTCCTCATCATGTTAAAACAATCCCAAGTGCAAGATGCTAGGCACTGAACCTGGGCACGAAGGTTAAATTCCGTTTTGTGCGTGTAGTCCTGGTAGGTTTATTTACAGTCCCCTGAGACCAGGTCCAAATCTGTTTCTGCGATGTCACAATAATCAGATGTTGTAGCACCAGTTTCTGGCAGCAGAGGGTATGTGAGAAGCTTTCTACTTCCAGCACGAAGGGGTTCATTTCTATGCTATTTTTCTACAATTTTGGTATTTAAATTAGGTTCTTAAGAAGCAGATTTGATAGAGCTGTGGTAGGTGTAATTTGGGAGGATAGACTGAAACTTTGGGCCTTAACTTGCGGGGATCAGCTGTCCCCGGCGGGGCCGTGCTGACCCGCGCTTGTATTGCCAGGCAGGAGTTAGTTCTTCTTGTACCCATCTCCTGAAAAAAAATGGAGGGTTTGTGAGGAGTGCAAGGTGACTCTCTAGTACCGGTCCTGAGCATGGTAGGAGCCTTTTTTTTTTAAAAACAGTTTGTCTTCTTTTACGTGTACGCCGGGTAAAAGCTGTATCTTGACTCTGTGCCGTAAGTTTTGTTTCGGTCTGCTTGGTGCCAGCGTAGCTGCTACAGACACTGATCCTAACGCCTTTACCGAGAGCCAGTTGGTATCTTCATTCCATTTCAAGTGACGTGTGTTTCCTGTGGCCCTTTACTTTTCGAAGCTTCGTCGGTCAGTTTAGTTTTCACTGAGAGCAGCTCATGTATTTTCAAGATATCGGTTGGTTCTTGCCAGTATTTCTTCGTAAGCAGTATCGAAAACCAGTATTAAGGGTCCATTTCAAAGGAGGGCGCAGTTTCTTCAGTGAAGAAGCCCAGAGCCCGGAGTTCAGGCTCGCTGCCGGTCGATGCGCTGAACTCGGGTTTTCTTTTTTTTTCTCTTTAAACATATTTACTGTTGGACCCGAACTAGCACCCACACTGTTGTTAGCTTCAGATTACTGAATAGCTGCAGTGTGAAGATTCCCAGGTGACATTTCTCCGTTGTGCCCACGTTTGTTAGGTCCCCGAGCACCGTTCTGAAAGAGATTTAACTCACTGGATACCTGCTGAGGATCTACATCTAAACCACCTACGTTTCTTACGTATTAAACTTCCCTTTTTTTTTTTTTGTTAATTCTGTCACATGAGGGGGTCGTCGTGTGGTTGAACTGGTATTTTTGTCAAATCATATTTTTTAAAGTTTATTTCTTTTAATTCTTTTCAAATGAAGATGTCTATATTTCAGGTAGTATATTTACTTTTGTATTAGTTGGAATATGGTTATAGCTTAATACACTGCCTCTAGTTAACTTCCTTCCAAGACCATTTTCAGACAAGGGAAAAACCATGGTCCTTGAAGGTAGGTACTGTATTTTTCATGAAATATGGGTTGTTACCTTTTATTTTCTAGTATTTATTACAAGTTTTGAAGAGCAGCGTAACAGCTGTGACGTCTTCTCTTATGTTTCCACCAGTATTGAATTCCAGGTGATTCTAATGTGTGTTTTTGAGTCATGTTACAGACAATCTGAATTCCACTACATTTCTACTGGGCTTCAACATTCCATTCCACTGGAATCCAGAGTCTCATTTAATTTGTATTTGTTGGAGGGCATAAATGTTACTTGTATATTACAATGCTGTCACTGTGTGACATCCCATATGACTTTTGATGTAGATCACATTGCACTTAATCCGCTGTGATTATGCTTAGAAAATATTGTAGTTGCTAGATGCAGTGTGATTTTTATTTGGGGTTCTTTTTTTTTCTTTTTTTTTCCCCCTTCCCTTTCCCCTCCCAATGAACAGTTGAGTCTGGTTAAAAATGTGATTATGGTCCTATAAGATAACTTGCTGAGCTATCAGTCTTTTTGTTACAACTAAATCATTTTTTAAAAATTTTATAAAGCTGGAAATGATCAAATGCTGTTTTGTTCATTGTCAACAGTGTTGTGTTCATTTTATGTGTGTTCCTTATAAATAAGGAGCCTTGAGAAAATAAAATTATTCACAAAGCAGATACTTCCGTGGCCTTCCCTAAGGTTTTATTGTGCACCTTTGTGCGTTCGTATTTTGTTTCCAATCTCATGAAAGGCACGAAAGCAGCCTTTGTGCGTGGAATTTCAGGGCTGGCGTAAGAGATCTGGGAAAAAAATCACGACAGGGTCAGGAGCTCAGCTGGCACAGCAGCGCCACGCCTCGTCGGATCCAGTGCTCTGGCGGCTTGTCGGAAGGGAGGGTCATCGCGATGACGAAGTTGGTGGAGTGGCCTGTGGTGGACAGCGTCCCTCTCCTCTCGCTCGTCTTGTACACGGGGGCCAGGTAACTCGGTCGCTGGGGAATGTCCGCTCTCTTACACGGCTTCAGCCACATCTGCAGAGAAGGGTAAAAGAATCCGTCTCATCTCGGTTAACAGAGGAACAGGGGACGGTCTTGGCTTGGCCAAAGTATTGCAACCCCAGTGGCTTTTTGGGTTCTTTGGTTCTTCACAGGTAGCCCGGAAAACCTGTTTCTTGTTGCCTCTCTCTCACTGCTGTTATTAGCAGGGGATTCTCAGCCCCTCTCACTCAACTCTTACTTCAACACAAAACATTTCAATTAAATTACTTTCTCTTGGAAGAGTTGCCCTGTTACTTCCTTCGAGACTAGCACTTCTACAGCATTTGGTGGTCTGTAATACTATAAAAGTGACCAAACAAAAGATACTGACTACAGGTACTGTGTCGTAGAGGATTTTCGGGTGAGATTCATCTAGCTTCTTCGTCTGCCTGTTCCAGCACGCTCCATCCAAGAACAATCGTTTAATATAAACCCCTGAATTGGTTGGAAAAGACACCGTGTTACACAGAAACTGAAAATGCCTTCTAGCCAGGAGCAGCAGGTAGTGCAACGCCCTTTGCCAACTGTCAGTTAATTGTGTGGGACTTGTTTTTCCTCAATTTTTTGTGTTCCAAGTGGCGATCAAGTAATGTCGGGTGTAACACAATCTTATGCTGTATTACAATTTATGATGATTACAAGTCTATAAAGGTTTATAAAGTTGTGGTGTCTAGGGCTATCCTAATGCATCCAGCCTTCTGTGAATGTTGAGGGGCACAGCTTAAAAATTATTCCACTGTACAGGACGACACTCTTCTTCCAGTTGCCATTATTATAAAGTATATGTACGTACTACCTACATATTGTCAGCTTTAATGATGCCAGACTTGGAGATTTGATCATAGTCATCACATTGTTTCATTGCTTGTGTTTCAAACTGCCACTTGCCTATACCTTTCTAAAGCAGGTCATTAGAGGAGTAAAGAACAAAATGTCTTTAAATGTTTAAAAAACAAATTTTTTTTTGACGTGTTATAATGATGTGACAGAATGGCAGCTGTCATTCCATCAGCTCTCCAGAAGAAAAAAATAATTTACAGCAACATCTGGTTTTTAATCCAGCTTAGACTTTCGTACTCTGTAGACTGAAAACTGTAACTTATAAACCAAAAAATAAACGTGCCCCAGCAGAAAATGGCCTGAAAATGACTGGATGTGGCTCTCCCAGGCAGCCTGCTGAGCTCTTCTTTAAATACAACTGCCAGTCAGCCTTATGCTCAGGAAAGTATTAAAAAGTGTTAAGAACAGTTCGGTTTAATCTGTCGTCTTTTCTGAGGAAGGGCAAGCTAACAAGTGTATCTGCAGCTGGAACCCAAAATAGTAATATATATTAAAACCCTTTGATTAAAAAAAGCTTTTTTTCCCCACTCCTAGCAGTCCCCTATTGCACATGGTGATCACAGCCGCAAGATATTTTTCCAGGGATAGGTAGAGGAGCGAACTCAACTTGTCTCCTAAAGGCTTGGCTTTCCTTGGCTTAGGAAAATCCGCATCTTCAGCCACATGTGCTAAAGGAATAAAGGGGGAATAAAGATAGGCAAGGCAGCTGCCACTGGGAGGTTGGCTCTGTTGTGGGACAGATTCCTCTCGCTGTTGGTTTCTAGCTGCACGCTAACCCAGGAGGTGAGCTCCTCTCACCAGTTCCTAAGGACTTTAACAGTATTTTGCCTCTTTGCTTCTTGTGCATCCCATGGGGAGCAGGTGTGTATGTTTCCCAGCTGAATTCATTAATTGAATTGACTAAATCTGAGTCTGCCAATTCCTGTGATCTCCTGAATACATCAGGCAAAGGCAGGTAATGGTGTCTTGCGTTTACTTACCGTCTTCGGGAGCAGTTTCATATTCCTTGTCTTCCATCACTTCATAGTCAAATTCCAGCAGGTCTATGGGGATGGTGTATTTTCTGGCGTAGTTCTGCTGGGCGCCTGTTAGGAACGCTTGAGTGAAGAAGAATCCCGAAAGCCAGAAGACTGGTGGAGGTCCATTTTCATACCACAGCTGCAGCAGCAAAAGAAAGGAGGACAAAAGGTAAAAAAAAAAAAACCTCACACAACAAAACCACTGCTTTTTATCTTGGTTTTAGTACTTAAGAAAGTTGTCTGAGTCATTAGTGCAGGACATAGGTGAGGGCTGTTGCAACGGTGAACATTCACTACACGCGAGATCATTTTTTTGATTGTTGCAAACATCAGTTTTGAATAACGTCTGAAAAAATTTTGCTGCAATCATCTGCTGTAGAGAATAAGAATGAAGACAAGTAACTAGTTGTCTCTACTAGTAAGTGGTTCTCCTCCCAGGAAATAAAAAAAAATGTTCCTCAGCTATTGGTGGTTTCCCATTTGTACAAGTTTAATTTCTGCCCTGGATTCTGTTCAAGAAATGGCACTTGCGTGGTGTACACACAGTGCTCTCAGGCTTCCTACAGCTCCAGATGGAAGTTACTAAGGTGTGCTGACTGTATCCGAAAACATAAAATGGAATTTCTGTGGTAATGCAGATTTTGTGAGTATTTTTCTAGACCAAAACCCAGATACTTCTCTTGATTTTTAATTATTTTTCTTTTTAAAATTTACTTACAATTTTTGTTCCTAGGTCTTTTGTCTATGTTGGGCCCTGTTCTTACAACAGGTATAGGGTAGGCAATGAGATAGGGGGCAGTGACGTTTGTTTTCTTCAGCGGATTGAGATTACTGCACCGCAGGATGGTGCTGAGACTCTGAATGTCACTCATTTAAATCAGTTTGGGGAATCTGAACTCCTAGAGGTGAAGGAGTCCCACTGATTCTCCCTAACTCATCCCGCTTTCTTCTCCAGCACTACTCACAGCTCGGTATTTAAGGTAAGATTTTGGGTTAAAATGTTTTGCTAATTTAAGTTTGCTCACTGGGAAAGAAATTCAGCAGTGTTTTCCTGAGTTCTAAACTGGCATCATAACCACCTCCAGATCTAGATGCGGTGTAAGAGGTCCTGAGCACACTCTGTGTGCAGGCGCGGTTCCTGCCGTGGGGCAGCTCTGGCCGTGAGGTGGGGTGTACAGCACCGTGAGATGCGGTGACGCGCCAGCGGCGGGACGAGGGAGATGCACGAGGGAACCGAGCTTTTCCTGTCCGGCAGTTTGCGTGTGGGTGTTCGCTTGGGATGTCACGGGACGTCGACAGACAAAAAGCAGTCGACGTTGAGCGAATGCGTGTCCGTGGGGTGTGCTCACCTCCAAGAACTTCAGTCTGTGGAGGGAGTCGGTCACGTAGCTGCCCAGAGGCTTGGGTAAGACTGACTCATCCACAGTCCCGGAATTTTGCCTTTCAGAATGCTGCTTACCACTTCCTCCAGTTCAGCAGACATCACCACTAGCCCCTAAAAGAACTTTGGGAAATGAAGATGTCAGAATGCTTTACCTGACCGGCTTGCTCTAACAGTCAAAAACCGTCACGCTCTGTCGTGCAGCTGTTCCAGCGCTCTCGCTGTCACCCAGGAGCCACGCTGAGAGCAGGAACGGACACGAGGGGTTTCCTGGAAACTCGCTGCGGCCTCTCTTGGAGCCGGCAGTTATCTCCAGCCCGCTCAGGGAAACGGTCCGGAGTCTCTTGTGGAGAAAAACTGCCCATACTGGAAAATTCTCCCTTGCCATCCTTCCTCAGAAACACGGTCTTCCTAGAGCACTTCTGAGCTTTACTAACAATAAATGCCCTTTTTTTATTATTTTTTTAAGTTTCCTCAAAATCGTGACATTGCTGCAAGTGCGGCAAGACTTTCCAGCTCGTAGTTTCAAATTAAACAGGGAGAGGAGTAGTGTTCGTGGGGTTTTTTGGATTGTTTTTTAAAATACTTTGTCAGCCTTAAGCTGTAATAGCGTAAAGAAAAGTTACCGAAACTGACCTTTTCCTACTTTTTTTCTGTGTTTTCCACAGACGTAGCTTTTGATTCCTACTGAGAACAAACATCAGCTTTAGATGGTGACACCTTACCTGGAACCCTCACTGGCAGTAATTTGCTGTTAGAGGTGTTGAGCACATCTGCTTTCATCTGCGAGACTGTCTGAGGTGCTTTGGTCTTTCATGCCAGTGAGGCAGAAACACAGGTGTGAACCTAGTTACTGCTTGTCTTACTCGCTAGTTAAAACTTTCTGGTTTGGAGTAGGCACAACAGTACTTTTCTGTTTCTGTATTGCACTGCATCGGTTTCAAGACAGAGATCAGTCAGTCGGTCTGGAAGCCAGGACTGGCCGATCAGAAGCAGATGTCAGGGGCAGTTCTCCAAGCACTTGCATCGACAGCTTCGAGATTGGAGTCCAGGCTCCAGGTATGTGCCTTTAAAGGCTGAGTTCAGCTCACCTTTATTGCTTTCTGGATGTTAATGCAGGAGTCCCGTATCGTCTGCAGGAGCTTGTTAAAGCGCCCCATCTCTTGCACAAGCACAGTGTTCATGCTCTGAGTGTACGTGGTTGGGTATCTTCTCATTGCGGCTTCGATGGCGAAATCTGGAGGAAGTTTGCTCAGGATGTCACCGGTGACTTCATGAACAACTTCATCAGTGGATGTTGCACCACCACCAGACGCCCAAGTCTAGAGAGGGACAGAAATTTGGATTTATTTGGAGAAAAAAGAGATTTAGGAGAGCAAGTAGGTAAAGTGCAGGGAAATAGAGCTGTTACAAAGGCAGTGTTGAAAAGATCACAGTTCCAGCAATCCTCCTGTGATGAAATTAATTTGTTTTGGAATTTCCTATAGTATCGCAATAAGGTGTTACAGAATGTTCGGGGTTGGAAGGGACCTCAACAGCTGATCTAGCCCAGCCCCCTGCCAGAGCAGGATCACCTACAGCAGGTCACACAGGAACGCGTCCAGGCGGGGTTTGAATGTCTCCAGAGAAGGAGACTCCACACCCTCCCTGGGCAGCCTGGGACGGGGCTCTGGCACCCTCACAGGGAATTTGGGAGCCAGTTGTTCTCAATATACAGGAATGCTATAAGGCATCATGTATTTTTCTACCATGAGGGAAGGTTATCCTAACATCTGTTAGCTTGGGGGGGGAAAAAAAAAAAGATCTTATGCACTTTTTCTGTTCTTTAATCAGTGTAATACAACTGGTTACTGCATCCATTTGCCGTAGTTCAGCAGTACTATGCTAATTCTCTCAAAAATAAATTATTTACTGTCTTAAGAAAAAAACAAACAAAAAACCCCCCCAAATTTTACGCATCAAAACAGCCAATTAAAATATTGACACTGTATAGGTTTCATTACAGTCTATTACAATAATAACTAGAACTAGCAAAATCTGGTTGCTTCCATATGTGTCCTTTTTTTTTTCCCTTTGAAATCCTGCTTCGATAAACCTAGCTCCCCCCGCTCCCCAAGCCGTGCTGTACCACCCATCAGCAGCGCGGGCGCTGTGGGAGGGCACAGGGCAGCACCAAGCTCTGTCTTGCCGCCCCCCGTGTCCCCCTTGCTCCCTCTGTTCAGCTCTTGGCTCTCCTCACAAAGCTTACCGGCACGGTACCATCCCTGGATTGTACCTGGCTTACAAACGGGACTGAAACTGGCCGAGAAGTTGAGAATTGTTAAAAGCTCGGCACAGGGTAGTAGAAGCTCAGAAGTACAATCACAGAAGCTGTGTTTCCTCAGGAAGACAGTAAAGGTAAAAACCATAAAAGCCTTAAAAGAGTCTTAGGTGGAACAGCAATTTCACCAGAATGGAAATACAGCACAAGGAGCTACAGGCAAAACCAAAAGTTGTGGTAAGATGCTGTGTGACTTTACCTGTGTAAGAAGAATGTTATCAAAGAACAGTTGTGTTTCAGCCTGATCCTTGGTAATGTCAGCATTCGCGTTCATTCCAAATACCTCTGGGGAAGGATTCAGCGGGAGTGTCTTTGTGTAGTCAATATAGCTTTGGTACTGAATAAAAGGGAAAGGAAAATACTTGGAATGACAGGGAGAAACAGCCAGGCAGCCTGTGACAGCCTGCAAGCAGTGTCTGCAAACCACTACAAACTTCCCTAGTGTAACAAATATCATGTGTAAACTATGATATAAAAGGAAATACAGGGGCTGAGCATGCCCCACAAATTCCTTTGGTCCATCTTTTCACCCTGAAATTGAGACTGGTTTTGCTTCAATACTCTCCAACAAAATTTCTGTTGGAAATTCTCATACACAATTACACACCTGGTGCAGGAGG